ACATGAATTTTCAACCAAGTGCCTCTCTCTCCCCTCCCGATACCAGTGGCCCCACTACTGAGCTAATAATGCAGAACATGTGCTTTGAGCAGACAGCCACCCACTCATACGTCTTCCCTTATACATTAGCTAACAATCTACTCTAGGACCATACAGTAAGAAGACAGGGCGTCTGCTCTTCAAGATCTTACACCCAAAAAAAGGAAGAAAAAAAAAAAATCTTAACATCCTCAAACAAATAAAATTAGCACCATCCAGGAAGTGTGATAAACGCTACCATGGGCAAGTACAGGTACTATGAGATCTCCTAACGAGAGCACCTGGTATGGTCTGGGTCCATAAGTGAAGACTCCTCAGAGGACTAATAGGCTGACACTAAAGGATAAGAAAAAGTCATCAAGGCAGAGTGTTCTAGCAGGGAACAAGAGGAACAGAATGGAGCAGGACACTGGAAGAGCTACCTGGCCAGAAGGCAGACAGAGAGGACTGTGGGAGAAGATAGGGCAATATGAAAGGTGCCATGAGAGGAGATTTTAATAGGAATCCTCTTCCATTCTGTCCAGAAGGCTCAATCCACAAAAACACAACTGACACAACTTTATCCAGAATACAAAGAACTCCTAAAATGCAATAATAAAAACACAAACCACCCAGTTCTTGAAATGAGCAAAAGATGTGAATACATATTTTACCAAAAAAAGATACACCAATGATTAATAAACACATGAAAAAATACACAATATCATTAATTCTAAGGAAAAGGCAAATGAACACCACCATGACGTAACAGTTCACACTTCCAAGTATGGCTAAAATTAATAAGACAGACAACACCAAGTGTTGACAAGGATGTAAAGCAACTAAGACTCTCCTATGCATGGCTAGAAGAGTAGAAAATGATACAACCACTTTGCAGAAAGTTTGCCAAAATGTCTTGTAAATTTAAATAGAAACCTAGTCGGGGCGCCTGGGTGGCTCAGTCGTTAAGCGTCTACCTTCGGCTCAGGTCATGATCCCAGGGTCCTGGGATCAAGCCCCACATCGGGCTCCCTGCTCAGCGGGAAGCCTGCTTCTCCCTCTCCCACTCCCCCTGCTTGTGTTCCCTCTCTCGCTGTGTGTCTCTCTCTGTCAAATAAATAAATAAAATCTTTAATAAATAAATAAATAACTAGAAACCTAGTCAATGACCCAGCACTACCACTCCTAAGTATTTACCCATGAGAAATGAAAATAAATGTCCACACAAAGACTTGCACAAGAATGTTCACAGTGGCTTTATTCCTAACAGCCAAAAGCTGAAAATAACCCAAACATCCTTCAAAATCCACAAAGGGAATAGATAAATAAATTGTATGCTGATACAGTGAAAAACCACTCATGGTAAAAAAAGGAACAAAGCAACTGATACATACAACAACATGCATGAATCCCCAAAAAAAATTACACTGCATGCAATCAGCCAGACACAAAAGAATGCACTATGACTCCATTTGTGTGAAATTCTAGAATATGTAAAACTAATTAGGGGCAGAAAAAACCAAGGAGGGTGGATTTACTGGTAAGGGACAAGTGGGAATATAACAGAGTGATGGAAATACTCTAGATTTAATCTGAGGTTGTAGTTATACCTTTGAGGTGGGTTACACATTTGTCAAATTCAAAGACTGTATTCACAAAATCTATCCATTTTTTCTATGTAATTATTCCTCCATAAAGTTTCTAAAAAGGACAGGTAAGCAGCATCATATAGCCATGAGCCACTATGGATACCAGCTCATCCCTTAAAATGCACACAGTCACCGTCCCCTATTCACACATACTAGCAATCTATATACAAATATTCTGTTTTTGGCCCTGGCGCAGGAAAAAAAGAGCATGATTCTTTAGGAAGGGTGGGAGATTGAGCAAAACACACAGCATAAACACTCTCTTTTTTAGGAGCCACCTAAACCACCCACCTCCATTATAAATGATGCAGTTGTGCAAAATCCACTTTGCATCGGCCAGGAAAGCTTCTGTGCATCCATACATTTTCTTTTTAGCATTCTGGGGAGAAAAGCCAAGGAGCATAATAACCCGTGAGTCTGTACAAGCCGCAACCAATTAACACCTGCGTCCCCACATCATTTTTCTTAGCAGTCATTTGCCAAATTAATTAATGCTTTTACCCATTTCCCAAGATGCTATTATATTTGAGATCTAGAGCTCCATAAAAATGAAATTGCTGAATTCATCACAGTAACTTGAATTGTTTCCTCTTATACCAGCTGTCATTTATCAAGCAGCCCCTTTCAAGAAACCAGGATATTTTATATACTGACACGGTTTTTATTCATTGTTAACAGCCTCACATAAGCCTTGTGACTAAGAACGCCAATGACACACTATCATCACCACTTTACAGACAAGAGTACTGAGGTCTGGGATTGTTAAGGAACTTCTGCAAAGTTCCAACGCTATTAGTTTGTGAAGCTAGGATTCCAACCCTGTCTTTTTGGAATGCCTTCTTTTCTTGAAAACCATGAGGGTGTGTGTAATTTTTCAAAGCAGGTTCGATTGAGCATTTGGGGGTCAGCAAGACAATATAAGGTTTTCTCCTCATCCATGCTTTTCATTCCCCATATTTCATGCCAAAAATTTGAAAATTAGCACCAGGGGGATATGCACAATCTAAAGCATTCCAAGTATAATTTTCAGGATGGAATTTTAGCCTGAACTTTTCAAAGCACCTTCAGGCATTAAGGACATATCCCTAACAGTAGAATAACTTCTAGGAAGCCCCATCTTTATCAGCAATCTGAAGGTTTCCCAAACACTTAATTTTCTCTTTTCTCCTTCCTGCTGCCCTCATTAGCACCTCTGACAGAAAGAGAAGAGGAGGTAAGGCTCAAATCAATCAAATCACTGATTCATAGAAGTGTGACTTTTTCAGCTCAATTTTCAGACAATCACCAGCAAAAGTAATATTTGGAGCTCATCAGTGGAATTCAAAACTCCATTACAATCCTTGGAAGAATGTTACAGAAGTTAAGGGATCAAGAGTTCTTCCATCCAAATAAAAATGGTGCAGAGGATAGGCAGAGTAATCATCTAACTTGAGATGGGGCACAGGAAGTGAGGGAGGGTCTTTAGTCATCTCGGGAATTGTGGCTACAATGGTGAGGTTCTTTGATGGAAGCCAACCTTTTCCAATGTACAAAGGTCCATAGGATGGAAGATGTATTCCGCATAGTCAGGATGCTGTTCCAATGGAACAGGCTTCTGGAATGCATCTGTCTATAAAAGAAAAGAAAAGATGCACACACACACGGAGACACAAACCCATCATTACTGTGGAAAACAAAGCATTAATAGCAGTCATCGTACTTTATATTTAATTTTTAGGTATTTGAGCCAGGCACATCTACTTTCAAAATGGAGGCAACTTTTCAGACAATACAATTCTAGTGGTTTCCACAAAGAATGACCTTGGGGAGTACTAAGCTGGTTCAGCTTCCAGTTCTGCCTGGTTATCAATAATCATGGGGGGGGGGGGGGGGGGAGGCGCCTGGGTGGCTCAGTCGTTAAGCGTCTGCCTTCGGCTCAGGTCATGATCCCAGCATCCTGGGATCAAGCCCCACATCGGGCTCCCTGCTCCGCAGGAAGCCTGCTTCTCCCTCTCCCACTCCCCCTGCTTGTGTTCCCTCTCTCGCTGTGTCTCTCTCTGTCAAATAAGTTAAAAAAAAAATCTTAAAAAAATAAATAAAATAATCATGGGGGGGTTCTTTTGTTATTTGTTTAGTTTTCAAAATATATCCAAATAACAGGTTCTGTCCTCTTCTATTAAGATCGACAAGAACAACACACCATCAACTACTTCAGACGTGAACTCTGAATAAGGCTTATCTATGTCCTGCAAACATCCATAACCAGAACAGACAGTAAAATGTGGCCATACCCAGAGATGACACACTTAATAAAGTCCCCCCCTAAATGCCAGCAGGTATTTTACACTTGGGGGGAAAATTCAGACAGTGAGATTTTGCTCCTCCTTCAAGAAGCCAAATTACCTCAACACAGAGACTATGTCCAAGTTTTTCATCTTGTGCCATGTTCTTAAGCCCTTACGTGAATCAGCTCAAAATGCAAGGCCCGGTTTGTTGATGGATTGTTTTTACTTATCAATATTTAAAAATCTACAAGATTTGGGGCACCTGGCTGGCTCAGTTGGTGGAGCATGCGACTCTTGATCTCAGGGTTGTGAAAATTCAAGCCCCACATTGGGTGTAGAGATTACTTAAAAATAAAATCTCAAAATCTTAAAATCAATCAATCAATCAATCACTAAAAGATTTAATTAAACACCAAATGACAGCCAAGCAAGGCATCTGAAAGAGCTACCACCTGCAGTCACTGGAGCCCTCTTTTACCCAGAAAGAAAGTGTGTGGCCTTTGCAAGTTACAAAGATGCTTCAATATCATCGGCAACTTTCCGTCCTAATTGATTTTATATCAAACAATTTATGTGAGAAATTAGGCCTTCTTCGATTTTTCTCTATGGTTTATAATTCTACAGTGTTGACAACTCTACATGAATCTGTTCTTTTTGTAAAACAGTCCCATAATTTAGCCTATGGAAAAGCAGAAAGTAATTCCTTGTCACTCAACATAAAAACAACTCTACAGTTAAAAAAAAAAAAGAGTTGTTTTTCTTTCCAAACTGAGGCTATCCATGCTTTTGCTTCCATTGACGGAGATTTTGTTACAAATAGATTCCCAATTTAGCAACACCCAATTGGCATGCTCTGAATTTTTTTTCATGGTATCAAATTTCAGAATAGAATCTCAAAACAAAAGCCTGGGTTTTTTTTGTTGTTTTTTTTTAAGAAATTAAGCCACAGTGTCTATTCAATACCCTGAGGTTCTACAATGCTGTATATTCCCTTGACTTAGAAAGCAGACTCTGGAGAGTTTAACAAAGGGTCACCACTAGCCCATATGGGGCCTCTGTGCAAATTGGAAAGGGAAAACCCTACCCTTAAAGTTTCTCTAGATTGGTCTGTACGAAGAATGTCATAACATGTTGATTATAAGGGCACAACATATTATTTTTAAGAACGAGGCATTTTACGGTCATCTTCCTAAAAAATGTCACCAAGAAAATTAAAACCACCATGACTATGATGTGCCTGGGACTCTGGGGAGGGTAACCACTAGGAAAGAGAGCGTGCCAGCTGAATGTGGCAGCCTTGCTTTCACATCTGGATTTCCTTTAAGAGGCAAAGGTCTCTACATCAAATCCCATTTCAAAATTGAAGGAATGAACCAAATTCTCGCCCTTTATGGGAGTCTCACTGGTTGAGTTTCACTTGGAGGTTCCATCATCAGACCTTGATTATAAATGAACTGGGTTGTATTCCACTCTCTCACTGAAATGGACTTTTACAAACTCCCGAAGGGAGAAGTACAGAACCTCCTTACCCGATGGGGTCTGGGTATGAGGTTTCACTTCATGACTAATCAGAATTTTAAATCCCACCAACTTTCTACTGCATGTCATTCCCCCATTAAACTCATTGGGGACACGAAGTACTCACTACAGAGAATTAACTGATTGTCATCGCACTTTATATTTAATTTTTAGGTATTTGAGCCAGGCACATAAGAAGACCCAAAGAGTATGCACAGGTGTCTGGAAAGCAAAAACTACTCAGAACAAGAATGTTAACAGAAAACAACAAAAGTCACTATTTTCCATTTACGCTTATACCAAGAGGAACTTTCTTCTTACCCCTGGCTGTTTCATTTTCTGAATGGCAAACTTGAGCAGGTAGGATAACTGTTCGATGGTGAGCATTGTCATGGCCTTACTCTGAGTCTCGATGCATTCTGCTACTGTAATCTTCTACAAGTCAAAATCACACAAATGTTCAGTTAGAAAAAAATTACTATTCCCTGTACAAAGTTCCCTTTCCTCCTAATTTTCCAATAAGCTCATAATAAAAATTCCTTTTCATCCAAATGAGACTAGTTGTTTCACTTGAGAAGAACTCCAGTCTACTTGACCATACACTGGATCAGTGGATAAAAATGAAGAGGCACACCAATCCCCTGGTGATGACCTTATTTGGAAGTGTTTTTCGCTCATGAAGATGACATAATCTGAGAAAGAGGCAGGTGGGCAGGGACCTGAAAAATCGTCACGATTACAACCGTGGGTTTCAAGAATGGGATGTGAAAGGAAAGACCACTAATGGTTTTAGGGTAATCTCTGCACACAATGAATCAGTCACTTAACTTGATCCTCTTAGCATTCTGGGCTACCTTTCAGGAAACTGACAAGGCTTTAACTCAATGACATCACTGATGGAAAAGGACAGTCTTCCCTGTAGAAAGAATCCAAGGGATAGGAGAGAACTAAATATAAATATGACTTCATTCTCTGTCACCACGGATGTGAACCCACTCAGGACATTCTGGCAAACGACACAAGAAGCGTAGTCTAGCTGTCTGTCTCCATGGGAAATAAATGTCATTTTGAAAGGGAAATTCCCATCAAAGAAGAGGCCCAGAGAAATGTCTGAAACCAGACTCTGCTATGTCAATCTGGTACAATATCCCAGAGCTTCAGACTCCTTATGTAGCAGCAACCCCAAAATAGCAAAGTCTGATGATGTCAGGAAACACTCTTTAACCATCTGTGTAGGGAGAGCTGAGAAAAGTTTCCTCCAATTAATCTTGATTCAGTTTCCATCCTTCATAGCTCTGGATCCTCCAAAAGGAACTTTCAGAAGTGTGTGGTTGGTTGTCGAGGAAAAGGGCAACACATGAGTTGCTCAGAAGCTGGAAACAGTACGTGATGCACGTACCTAACTGCTTAGCTACCCGAGCCTGAGACAGCTAGCCTGCAATGCCAATGCCCCCCTGGAAGAAATTTGGGGCCCTAAACCTTAAACACAGAAATCCTGTTTGTTTGAATCACTGTTTGCTTCCAGGTAGCTATCCCCGATCCCTTCCCTCCTGGCTAGCAGTGCCTGGTTCCCATGATATAGATTGAAAGTGCCAGACAAGCATTTTCAAGATTCTTTTGCTTGAAGACTGGTCCAATCCTGACTGATGAGGCCAAGGACAAAGTCACCTGGAGGCTGAAGGGCAAGGTCCTTCTGCTTGATAAAAAGGGCTGTAAAGAGAAACACTCCTCCTCTTAAGAGGGATTTTTGTCTAGGCACACGTGATTAAAAACCCCAGCAGCCAGCTTACGGCCATGGCGGGGGGCGGGGAACGACACGATGAGGACACACTTTGCCTCAACAGTGAAACAGAGTCTGGCTATGCACAAACTCTGGCCTGGCCCTGCCTCTGGGTTCTTTCTACACATGAGAATAAATCCCTATTGATCCCTATTGTTCCAGCCCGCATCCATCAGGATCTTTACTTGCAGCAAAAGCCACTACCGTTTCTGCAAAATTATGAAACAATTGGGAAGGGTGGGTCAAGACAAAAGGAAACGGATGAAGGATCCAGTGCCCACACTAACTGCAGCAGAACCAGGTCGACCCCACAACAAGAGGGCATTGCTGAGCAAAGGGTATCCTACACATCTCTCTGTCTCGAGTACCCCAAAGAGAACCAGAGGCCATTGTTTGCAATTTTAGGGGCTGAACACCATTAAAATGTCATCATCGTATCAATGTGATGCCTCCACTCTTTTCATATAGTTCTTATTTTTCTCCGTTCCCAACACAAAAGCAGTACCACAGACACCGTCTTGTAGCTTGCTTCTTTTGAAAGACATCAGGAAGAACGTTCCATTTCGTACACAGAAGGCTTCCTTGTGTGAGATCAAGTTCTAATATACCTTCAAACCCAAGTGACATTCCGTATTAAATGATTTTGCAGATGGCATCATTCGCAGTATCTTGAAAAAGCATCGTAACTGGAAGTCACCAAGAATGGAAGACACCTCAGAATTGTGGAAATGGTCGTAACTGTTCTAATAAAGGAAAACGTGAGGCTTTCCGACAAATGAGATACTTATGTTCTTCACCAAGCCAGCGTCCTTCTGCTTGGGTTCTGTACCTGCAGCCTCCTCAATGGAAGGCGGCATGACTCGCTCCTCCTCTCCTTCACGCCGTTCTCAAGTCTCAGTAAGGCCTTCCTGGGCCTTCCTGGGCCTCTTCACTTGAAAGGGAAACACCCTCCACCCGCCTTACTCCCAATTCCTCCTCCTCAATTCATTTTATTTGGTTTTTGTCCTCTTCTCCTGAAAAGCATGTCATGCATGCCTCTTTTTGTTCACGGCCGGATCCCTAGCACCTAACGGGCACTCGAGAAACAGTTGCAGCATGAATGAAAGCATCAGATGACAACCACATGGAGCACACAACCCAAATTGGTCTTCTCGGCTACCGCCGATGACTTAACAGATGCAGCAGGAGACAACATCCAAGAAGAGGAAAAACAGCATGCGATCTTTTCAAAATACGTGAACTGTTATACAGTTCCTAAGTTAACTTCTGAAATGTTCATTACAGCAGAATCAGAGAAGGTTGCAGATCCCAGAGTGATCCAAAGACCCAGGAAGAATCAAAACCAACACTCAGTGCAATTGTCACTGCAAGAGCAGCAGAGCTCAGGCCCCTGCCAAAGCTGGTCCCAAAAGGGGGTGACCAGGATAGAGCAAGTGGAAGGCAAGAGATTTCATTTTTTCCTGAATCTGGATTATTCAAAAATTTTTAAATGAAAGGGAGAATGAGAAAGGAAAGGAAACGAAGCAGATAATGCATTCATTCATTGGGAACTAACCTCACATTCAGGACAAAACCAGTCCCCCTCTGGTTCCGATGTCAGTCTCAGACACTTAGCGTGATAAACCCGGGGACAGAGCTCACAGCAAAGGACTTGGCCTTCCCGGTGACAAACCCAGCAGTAGAAATCATTCCGTCCATCCTGCGGTACAACATCAACAGGGTCTGTGGTGAGTGGCTGCTTCATATAGTAAAACGGACCATGTCTTAGTTCTGACTGAAATGTAGGCAAGAAAGACAGGTTTGGTTTCAAAACAAATGTGCATTCTCAAAAGGAATTTGAACAAATACATCAATAACAACAAAAGAACATCACAGCATTCCACACATTCCTTAAAAAGCTATCTTGGGTCACTCTACTAAATACAGAGTTTGCAGGTCGTTAGGTACTAAGACATTTTTTTCCTCTCTCTCTCTTCTACATTCAGAAGCCATAGATTGAAAAGCTGGTGTCTAAGAGTTAATAGGCTGCCCTAGCAGAATAATTATAATGGCTACAACCCAGGCATACCCAGGTTCAAATTTTAGTTCTACCAGCTGTATGACCATGGGCAAATTTCAACCTCTCAGCTTCAACTTTCTCATCTGTAGAATGGGGATGGTAATACCTATCATCATGGTATTTGGGTTGGGATTCAAGGGGATGATAGAACGTATGCATTTAACACAGTGCTGCTATACTAATATACTTAAGAGACCAATAAATGGAGGTCTAAACAGAGCCAACAATTTGCCCTAGGATTCTTTCAACAGCAGGCTTTGGGAGGATAGAGCAATTGGATTTGAGTCACCAAAAAGAAAAAGAAAAAAGAAAAAAAAAAAAGGCCATTCTTTTAAGTTTACCCCCAATGCATAAAATGTATGAGCCACCAGAGGCTTCCTAAAGCCATGATTCTTCAACATGGTAGGTCCTCATATTTGCAGAGGTTCCAGATCTCCTATTCAGAAACACCAATGGCAGAAAGATTACATGAGTGGCCAATTCATGGGAATCAAAACCACTTCCTACTCCAGAATGTCAAGAAAAATGTTTCCCTAATGATACATTACACAATCTAACAAAGCCACATTCCGAACATATAAGATCACTCAGAAGAAACTCATCAGGAAAAAATGTCTACTGGAAATCAGTAACAAATACAATTTTTAAGAAGTACTGTAAGAAATTCTGGGGGTGGGGCACCTGGATGGCTCAGTCGGTTAAGGGTCCCACTCTTGATTTCAGCTCAGATCATGATCTCAGCACAACAGGATCGAGCCCCTCGTCGGGCTCCATAATCAGTGCGGAGACTGTTTGAGATGCGCTCTCTCTCTCTCTCTCTCTCTCTCCCTCTGCCCCTCCCTCCTCTCTCAAATACATAAGTAAATAAATCTTCTACAAAAAAAGAAAAGAAAGAAATTCTGGGGGCAGCTGGGGAGCTCAGTTGGTTAAGCATACGATTCTTGATCTCAGCTCAGGTCTTGATCTAAGGGTTGTGAGTTTAAGCCCCACACTACTGGGCTCCATGCTGGGCATAGAGCCTACTTAAAAAAAAAAAAGAAAGAAAGAGATTCTGGTGGTAAGCGTCAAAATGACCCAATAACTAGCTGTGCAACCTTAAGAAAGCTACTCAACCCATTTGAGCCTTGATTCCATGGGTAATAGCTCAAACACAACCACAGTACCTATCTTTGACAGTAAGCTTTTTTCCTGTCCTGTCCTTCAACAAAACATTACAGTTTCCTCCACAAAGTCTCATATGTTGGTTAAAGCTGCATAATTTTTGTTGATATTATGAATGGGACCTTTCTCTATCCTATTTTCTAAGTAGTTATTGTTGGTACACAGAAATGTTGTTAGTTTTTAATGCTGACCTCCTATATAGGCAGTTCTAGTAGTTTATTGATTAAAAACATCTGCTCTGGGGCACCTGGGTGGCTCAGTTGGTTAAGCAACTGCCTTCGGCTCAGGTCATGATCCTGGAGTCCCAGGATCGAGTCCCACATCGGGCTCCCTGCTCAGCAAGGAATCTGCTTCTCCCTCTGACCCTCCTTTCTCTCATGCTCTCTGTCTCTCATTCTCTCTCTCTCAAATAAATAAAATCTTAAAAAATAAATAAATAAAAAATAAAAACATCTGCTCTAAGCAACAGCAGTTTTGTCTGTTCATCTCTAGTATTTTTACACTCCTTTTCTTTCCCTCTTATTTTAATGGGGCCCGTATTTTATCCTGGGACCCCCAGGATAATGGGAAAGAGTGGTAAAGATTAAAAGCAGTCATGTCTTGTTCCTGCTTTTTAGTATGAGGTTTTAAGGTTCTCAAAACGTCTGCTCTTTCTACATTCCTTTTTATCAACCCTCCCAGATGCTTCCTTCGTAGATCTTTGTTAATCTATCCTTCGAAGCCTCCCTACTCTCATTTCTACTAAGAAAACAACTAAGACTAAGATTCCATTTATTTACCTGACAGAGACAGAAACAGCGAGAGAGGGAACACAAGCAGGGGGAGTAGGAGAGGGAGAAGCAGGCCTCCCGCTGAGCAGGAGGCCTGTTGTGGGGCTCAATCCCAGGACCCTGGGATCATGACCTGAGCCGAAGGCAGACGCTTAACCAACTGAGCCACCCAGGCGCCCCAACAACTAAGACTTAAGGGTAACTCCATAATTCTTGAGCCCAATTATTCCCCTGGTTCCGTTCAGATACAGGCCTCTATATTTGGTTTCCAGACAGTAACATCATTACCATTTTCTCTCCATGTTAAGTGTTTAACATACTCTCATACACATCATCTTCATTTTATCCTCACACGCCCCGGAGAGGTACTCAGGATAGACACCACTAGTCTCACTTGACAGATGAGAAAACTAGTTAAAACAACCCAACTTTCTCTCGCCCTGATACCCTGTTTAAGACAATGCTGGGTGAGGAGAGACTCTAATGATGAAGTGACCCCCTCAGAGAACATTCTCTGTAGGTCAAAATAACTTCTGTTTCATGCAAAGAGCTGAGAGGGGGGAGGGAGTGAATCTGAAAATTAGGAAAACAACTAGAAACACCACAGAAGGGGACATGAAAGGAGAACATCTGGGGGGGGGGTGGCTCTCACCCTCACACTACTGTGGTTCAGGGCAGAAAATTCTTTGTGAGTTGGAGCCGTCCTGTGCATTATAGGATGTGTGGAGTATCCATGGCTAGATGCCTGGAGCACCCCACCATCCACAAGACTGTGACGATCAAAAATGTCTCCAGATATTGCCAAATGTCCCTGGGGGGCAAAACTGCCCTTAGTTGAGAACACTGACGTACAGGGTCTGCTATCGGCCCAGGAAATGCTTGTTTGCGTTTGGGGCAGGAGAGAGGGCGAAGGGGGGCTTTAAGGAGGTGGCAGGGTGAGGAGAAGGAGGAGGACAAGAAAGAAGAGGGAGGCAAGGTGTGGAAAGAGGAGAAGATCCTTGTATGGAAAGATAAGCCTCACGTATCAAGCAAGCACGAACTGCTTCTAACCTGAGTGAGGTCTTCCAGAGTGCTTTTGTGGCTTTTGCAACATAGCAGTAAGCCATAGTTCAGTGCCTGACTTCCTTTCAGCAAGTTAATAATAGGACAGGAAGAGTCAATCTAAACGAAACTGGAAGAATGGAACAGGCCAGCTAATCTCCCTAACTGGAAACCCAGGGCCTTCCTGTCCAAGAGAGGCCTAGCTGCCACTTCTGAAGTTAAGCTCCCTGCCCCCATGTCCTTGCCCCCAACCCACACCTGGCTGGGAATGGGTATTCCTGGGGGAAATCATAAGGGATGCGTGCTAGGCAGCAGCTGTTGCTGCTGAGAACTAGCTGCCTGGTAACCTCCGTATCAATCAGATATCTGCCTTTTCTTGTAAGTGTTTCCTGTTCCATAAAAATAGTCTGATAACAAATATGGAACATTTTAAAAAGGAAAAGCAAATCATTCCAGGTAAAATGAGTTATGATTTTCTCCGCCCTATGTATAAGGTGTGTTACCAGCCTGCTGGTAAGGCAAACAGGTTGCAACCTGCGTTATTATAGGATAACTGCAGGCTGTGTGAGCAAATGTTCTTTTTTTTTTTTTTTTAAAGTTTTATTTATTTATTTGAGAGAGAGAGAATGAGAGACAGATAGCAAGAGAGGGAAGAGGGTCAGAGGGAGAACCAGACCCCCCACCTAGCAGGGAGCCCGATGCGGGACCCGATCCCGGGACTCCAGGATCATGACCTGAGCCGAAGGCAGTCGCTTAACCAACTGAGCCACCCAGGCGCCCGCAAATGTTATTTCCCTGCTCCTTCCACAGGCTGATTGAACAAGAGAACAGGCTCATTCACTCACTTCTCTAATACTTCAGTCTTGTGCCAGTAGCCAAGAAACTTCTTCTCTAACGGGTTCTATAAAGACTGGAAATATGGGCTCCTGGGTGGCTCAGTTGGTTAAGCGACTGCCTTCGGCTCAGGTCATGATCTCAGGGTCCTGGGATCGAGCCCCACATCGGGCTCCCTGCTCAGCAGGGTGTCTGCTTCTCCCTCTTTCTGCTTATGTTCTCTCTCAAACAAATAAAATCTTTAAAAAAAAAAAAAAAAAGACAGTAAATAGCTGAGGGTGTTGCAGGTCATGTGGTCTCTATTACAAGGACTCAAGTCAGCCACAGCAGCAAAAAAGCAACCACAGACAATACATAAAATGAATGAATATGGCTGTGTGCCAATAAAACTTTATTTACAAAAACAGGCTCTGGGCAGCATCTTGCTCACAGGCTGTAGTTAGCTGACACCTGGTCTGCGTAAAGCAGAAAATGGGTGCTCTGGCTGTGTGTGAGCACAGGGTACATGTGTGACAAACAGGGGGACCAAAACTCAAAATCCCTACATGGACCACAGAGGTAACATACGCAAATGAAAACGGTCCTTGTTCCAGCTTTTGTTCTTCTCCATTTAAACCACAAACACTGCAAAATATGTCTCTGCTCTAAGAAAAACTGCCCAGTCCTGGAGTGTGAGGAATGTCACTGGCATTCAGCCTGGACGCTGGCGAGACAACAGGGAGAGGCAGAACTTGGGCCCATCTTAAGGGGCAGCCCCGGCTCAGCTCCAGTGATTAAGACAGCTAGGCCAGATGCACACTCCCAGTGCTGCCTGAGTTCAGGGAGAAGCCAGGAAGCCTACACTCCCCTGAACTGTCTCCATTGTTAATACACTGCCCCAGCCCAACAAGGGACTTCTGTGAATATTTTTAAGTTTTTAAGACAATGCATGGGCCCGACAAAATAAGATCTAGCTCACCCATTTATGGTATGTATATACCCTATACTCAGAGGCAGTGAGGGGGAGCCCCATCATTTCTTTACCATATTTGATCACAGGTATACCGATGGCCACCCAATCTGTTAGCAGATTATTTCTCAATCCCTTAATGATGGGGGGGGGAACGCTTCCAAGTGGAGTCTTCATATGCAAATGTCCCAAGAACTAAAAATCAGAGTGGTATTTTTCAGTAAAGGCCCTAATATCATTTGAGGGAAGATACTTCTTGGGCCATCTACTGCAGGGTATTTGGCAACCTAACCTTCCACAAAATGACAGGAGCATCCTTTCAGGCTTTGGGATGTCTCCTCCCACCCCAATCCCAAGAAAAAGCACCCCCTTGTTTTCAAACCTTTCCTACAGAGTGAAACCATACCACGGGGCCAAAAGCCTATAAAATATTAATTATAGGGGTGCCTGGATGGCTCAGTTGGTTAAGCATTTGCCTTCGGCTCAGGTCATGATCCCAGGGTCCTGGGATCGAGTCCAGCATCGGGCTCCCTGCTCAGAGGGGAGCCTGCTTCTCCCTCTCCCTCTGCCTGCCACGCCCCCTGCCTGTGGTCGCTCTGTCAAATAAATAAATAAAATCTTTTAAAAAAAAAATAATTATAAGCCTTAAATACTTTTTTCCCAAAAAACAAAGTGTGTTTTAAAGTTCCTCTTACAACTCCCCTAAAATTACTGAATTCCTAGTATATGAAAAATGGGTGAAATAAGGTCCAACCTTAAAAATTCAACTCCTATCTCCACTTGGTTAATAAGAAGTCTACCAAAAATGGGAAAATATGGGGGTTTTTTTGTTTTTATAAAACAAGAAAAGCTTTCTTTTTTTTTTTGGAACACAAAAAAGAAATTATAATTGAGAGGAAGGGGAGAAGAATCTTGGTATATGCCAAAAATCAAAGGTATCTGAACTCTTAAAAGAGCCAGAGGCAGAAGGTATGAGCCAAGTCGGCAGGGTGTGACACTGGGGAGGGGTGGGGAGTGTGGAAAAACTAGAGCACAGAGGCCCTGTGTCTAAAGGGGCAGGCTCTAGCCCACTGCAGCTGTTGCCGGATTTTTCTGAGTTTTTGTAAGAACCCAAAATACAAGTTGTTATTTGAAATCTCATGATCTTCAAATGTTGGTGACTAACAAATTATACTACTGGTAAAACCCAGCACTTTCAGACCTACAATTTGCTTTTAATTCCATAATTTTGTAATGCTATAAAATTCTAAAAAGAAAGAAGAAAGGGAAAGTGTCCAGAGGAATTTTTTAAAGGGATTTAAGTTCCCCTTAAGGAAAAACAGATTGTTGCAGGAGGGAGGCTGCCGCCACCATGCAAATATTATATGCTAGAATAAATTATGGGGTCAAGGGTCAGGAATGTCATTTCTTTGCAGTTAAGCCCGTTTCTCCTCTGCCAACTCCTTACTGTTCGGCCCCAGGGAGTTTTAGGGCTGAAAAACAAACCTACGATCAACCTTATGATGTTTCCAGCCCAAACCCCTACTTTACAAGGTAAATGAATCTCAAAGATGGGCCAGCAAGTGACATGGTCCCACAGTGAGTCTCCCAGATGCAGTGGGGCTAGAAAGAGCCAGATCTCTAGGTCAGGACCGAACTTCCCCTGTGCAACGGTCCCATAAACTCTTCTATCAATACTGAAGATGACAGATTATTCAGGAGCATAATCATGCCCCATGTCCAGCTCCTCCGAGTCTCCTCTCTTCCACACCCAGAGCGCACTGTGGATTCACGAGCCCCCACCCTGCGGCTACAGCAGCCGCCAGACACTGGCCACTTTTTGAGGCTGCTAGTCCAGAAGGGGACACGGACTGATAAATGTGTCACTGTGGTCACGGGCTGTAAGTGTTACAGAAATGGCCCTAACACATGGATGGGGAAGGGAGAGAAGAAGATACATGGACTACGCAGGCTGATCAGCTTCCAGAAAGAGAGGTACAAGCCAGTTCCTTAAAAGACGGGTAGGAACTCAAAAAAGTATGATGCATGTGTGCATACACAGGCAGAGGCCAAAGGAGAAGGCTTTCTGAACAGAGGGGACACTATCTGCCTCATGCCCTCCTGGTACCTGGTAAGGGAGGGTTTGCCCAGGAAGTTAAATTAATACCTAAGTTAAGGTTTGGGGATTATCTGTGGCCTTCCTGTTTCTGTTTCTTTAAGAGAGAGAGAGAATCTCATGGGATCCACGCCCAGTGCAGAGCCCGAGGCAGGGCTCAACCTCAGGACCCTGAGATCAGGACCTGAGCCAAAAATCAAGAGTCCGATGCTTAACTGACTGAGCCACCCAGGCACCCCTTTGTGTTTCTTAGTCTTCACTGTCAGCAGCTATGGGATGGCTCCTGGGTGAAAGGGATGGGTCGTCAGCACTTCAAGCCAGACGGGCAGACCTAAGCTCAAAGGCAGCTTCTGCTTCGCTCTGAGGCCTTGAGGAGACACCTTAACCTCTCTGAACCTCTGTGTTTTCATCTGTAAGATGGACACAATTACAGCCCTTTCCCACAGGGTTATTATAAACATGAACACAGAAAAATGCCTTACAAGAGGAAGTGGCACATGGTGAACCAATGTCTCTTAGTATCACCAGCACCGTCATATACGCTTCTCAATCCCCCTGGAAATTTATTTAGGACCCGCCTGTTTCTTCTCTTTTAACAGGATTCCCAACTCATTAGACCTGCACTATCCAACACAGTAGCTATAAGCCACAGGCAGTCACTTAAATTAAAATTAAATTAAAAATTCAGTTCCTCCAAGAAACAGACTCTTAACTACAGAGAACAAACTGCTGGTGACCAGAGGGGAGGTGGGCGGGGGAGTGGGGATGAAGTAGATGAAGTAGAACGCACTTACTGTGATGAGCATGGGGTATTGTAGGGAAGTGCTGAATCACTATACTGTACACCTGAAACTAACATTACGCTGTATGTTAACTAACTGAAATTTAAATGAAAACTTAAAAAAAAAATTTTTGGTTAAAAAAAAAAAAACCCAGACCCTGGGTCACATCTGCCATTTGCAGGTGCTGAATGACCACATGTGGCTTGTGGCTATTATACCGAACAGCACAGATCTAGAACATTTCTGTAGCTGTCGTTTCATTATTTCACACACAGTTTGTGTGATTATTCCACTTAGTGTCGAGCCTGGCTTAATTTTTATTATTATGATTGACATCATCACCACAACCCTGTGAAATTCGTCGTGGTACTATTACTCCCGTTTCAGTGGATGAGCAAACTAGGCACAAAGAGGTTAACTTGCCCACAGACACCCAGCAAAGCAGAGCGGGCATCTCACTATATAATTTTGAGAATGGAAATAGATTCGTGTGCAGAAATGCAGCTCTCTCCCAGTTCGGGGCATTTAACTGTTGCTAGGTTTCTTCCCATGAAAGCAACAACCTTATTTTTATTCAACCTCCAATCCCCAGGGCCCACTTCGGCACTCCCGTAATGCGCAAGACTCCCGTAATGCGCAAGACGGATGAATGCATCCCGAGGAATCCCTACTGAAATGCTAGCAGAACCATGGGGCAACCTGTTTCCTCCAATGCTAGGAGATCTGACCTCATGACCCACTAAAGCAGCTTTTTTTAAATCATAAGAGTATCTAGCCTGCATCAGAGAATTTTAAAGCTAGATCTCTTAAGATCTAAGATGGCTAATGGATATTCCGACCTAGTTGATAGGTCTTGGCTGCAGAAGGAGGAAGGGGTCTAGAAAAGACTGCTGTCGCCCCAGGGTTGATGCGCAGTGAGACAAAAGGCTGACCAATTACCGAAGAGGACAGTGGGCAATGGGTAGAGACAGCAGCTGTGTTACCACAGACCTAAACCGATTATTTTACAGATGAGAAAGCTGAGACCAGGAGGGAGCCTGCCTCAGCCCTGTAACCACCTCCAGGCAGAGCTCAGCACAATACTACTGGCATGGCCTAGAAGGAAAAACTCCTCCAGCCACATGGGGAAACAGCAGTAGAGTGTAAGAAGGAAATCCAAGGAAGACCCCCAAATCCTACAGCACGGTATCTTCAAGCTCATCTGGGTCACTGCCCTGTCCCCAAAACCGATCTTAAAAAGCCACTGGAAATTTCTACACAGACCCATTTTGAGCTGCCCTTCTTGTCCTATGCAAATAACAGCTAGAGCAAGGCAGCTTGCTAAATGCCAAGAACACGGGCTGTCAGCAACACCCGGAAAGCTACAGTGCTGCTCACTACAGCCTTTGTCCTGCTGGTGTGGACGCCATTCCCAGCGGCCCTTTACCTGCTCCTTATTGTTATTGTTCAGTAAGCCGGGTTTCTTTTTCTTTTTAATGGGGCTTGTGGATGTGTCCTGTGGCGAGTGGCCATTGGAAGAATGCGGAGGGCTGGGGAACTTTCTTTTCTGGGCTGTTCTCTCTGTGGAGCCAGGATCTGAAAGAGACACACAGGACCACATATTTTAAAGCAGTCAGGGAGGCCGAGGCCCCCCAGGGAGGGGGTGTGTGGGACACAAGGCATTCTGTCCCAGGCCCAATGCCACTGTAGTGTTCGTTCGTCCTCCTAGAATACTCTCACCCCATCCCTTTGGTTAATGGTCTCAAAGGTCAGACACTTCCTTCAGCCTACATGCCATTTTTGTTAAAAGTTTAATTCACTGCCAGAATATAAAAATCGAGAAACTTCCCATCATCACCTAGACTTCTGGCTTCTCTTAAAAACAAACAAACAAAGCAAAACAGAACACACACAAATCAGGGCCTGCATGGCGTTATGGCACCAGACTGATCTGTCTACCAACCAGTGAGACACTTTTAGTCGGAAATGTGCTCTCCATTTTGCCAAAATCCCCACCCTTCTCTACTGTGTCCCCGTTGACCAGGTCATGACCCAGCCACCACGAGCTGTGTCACACAGACATCAGTACCGTCCCTCATCCCAAAATATTTCTTCTCCATACCCGCACCTGACGGCAACGGCCAGGAAACCAAGAAAGACAGACCAGTGAGGCCACACACTTCCAGAAATCGAAGGCACACATACTTCTTTGTGGAAGACGACAACATTTACTGTGTTATGCTTGCTTGTGACTCTCCTCCAAAGGGACAGACACAAATGACGTTCTCCCTGATTCTCCTCTGAGACATGCCAGCCGCCCACCCTCGCCGACTCATTCCTTCCCATTTTGACTCTCCCAGCATCTCATTTAAACCCAGACACTTCCACCACCAACCCGTCTTCACCTGCAAGGCCTTGGGTCCATTCCATGCCCGCTGGCTGTCTCATTAGCGTCGGCGCGAAATAAGGGCCCAGAGTGGCGCGCCTTACATTCTGAGAAAGAGACATTACAGGCACAAGGAAAGACAGCTACGTGAGAGCACAGGGGATGGGGTGGGATGTGGAATCCAGAAGGACGACTATCCCCAAAGCGAACCTGACGACGCGCCTCCTCCGGTTTTAACTTGCGAGCAAGCCCCAGCACGCGGGATGCGCCATGCGTCACCAACCTCTGTGTGTGGACAGGGGCCGCTGGGGCAGATGAAAACAGTCTGGTACGGACACATGCGAGGCCTCCTAGGGGTTTCCTTCCGCCTGAAAGAGCATCTTCCAAGCAGGCTCACTAAAGGAGACAGTGAACGACTTCTGCAAAAACCGATCCACAGGATGGAACGCTCCACTCTCAGCAGGCAACTTCAGAAAAATCCCGAACAAGCGTTCCGCGTGCTGCACTGACACATCGTTCCGAGAGGAAATTAAATGCTAACCACAGGCCCCTTGAGGGAGAACAGACCCCAGAGTTTGGAGGATCATCCCACAGACTTCAAAGTGGAGGCCCAGAGAACCCAAAGGGATGGCCCAGAGGCACACCACAGCTAGTTAGCAGGAAAACTCATCGAAAAGGTGCAGCCTGGGATTGGTGTTCCCCTAGAGAGAACCTCCTCTCTCTCATGCCCAACAGAGATCCCTACCCCACTCCACCCTCATCCGTGAAGACTCACCTCCTCCACCTAGAAACACATGCTATAGATACAGTCACGGGGAGCAAAGCGACCCTAAGATGATTCAAATAAGGCACTGGGTGATGAACCCACACCTGGAAAGGACTAAAATGTCCACAAATCGAGGACTGGTCTAATAACATTCCATAGCCATACAGTGCAACGTTCTTTTTTTTTTATGCAATCTCTATGCCCAATGTGGGGCTTGAACTCACAACCCTAAGATCAAGAGCCGCATGCTCTACCAAGTGAGCCAGCCAGGCGCCCCCTCATACAGTGGAATATTCCACAGCCATTAAGAATAAGGAAGCACCTCTATGCAAACAGATGCGTGACTATCTCCAAGCTTCTGCATCTGGTTAAAAGAGCAACACATATCTAGCACCATTAACACACTGACACACACACCCCAAAAACAATGTTAGATATCTAAGTTTGCACAAGCCTAGAACATTCCCAGATGAACACAAAACTACTACAGAGCTCTCAACTGGGACTAGCGGCTGTCTCAGGGGAGGAAAACATGCAGGAGGTGGGGGAGGGATTATTTTTCATTGTGTACCCTTGTGTACTTTATTTATCATGAGCATAGACTACTTTATCAGAATAAATTTAAAGTGAGGTATTTAGGAAGGTCAGTAGCACATAAAAAAGCAGCAAGTGCAAACCAAAGCCAGGAATGAGCAAATGATGAAGGCCTGATTCAGGATAAACAATGGCACCAACCAGATGGACCAATCACCACAGGCTTAGGGACCACAGTCTGGGATTTGTTCAACATGGAGCTGATAAACCCAAATAACCCTGCTCAAGTGTCAGAATATGCGTGTTTTAGGAAGGTGTTCTGGTTGGGGCGCCTCGGTGGCTCAGCTGCTTAAGCATCCAACTCTTGATCTCAGCTCAGGTCTTGATCTCAGGGTTGTGAGTTCAAGCCCCATGTTGGACTCCACACTGGGTAGTGGAGCCTAGTAAAAAAAAATAAAAAAACAGAAAGGTGTTTTGGGGGCCCCAAGGAGATGCATCCCAGAAGAAATGGCACCTTGGCCAGCCCAAAATTGAAAGCAACTGGGCAAAGCTTTTGGTATTTGGTAAGTTTTGTTTCATTTGTGGGTACATTTTTTTAAAGGATTTATTTATTTATTTATTTATTTATTTATTTATTTATTTATTTATTTTAAAGATGTATTTATTTAAGAGAGAGAGAGCACACACGGGGTCGGGGGGGAGTAGGGGACAGGAAGAGAGAACCCCAAGCAGACTCCATGCTGAGTGTGGAGCATGACATGGGGCTCAATCTCATGACCCAGAGATCATGACCCGATCCGAAATCAAAAGTCAGATGCCCAACTGAATGAGCCACCCAGGCGCCCCTGTGGGTAGATTTTTAAAGAAGAAAGTACATTAGCAAAGACACATCAGCAAAAAAGTTAGGGGCACATTCGGGACAAAAACAAGTCGTGTGTTTCCATGTTTCTTCATGGAGCACAGTGCATTTTGTAAGGGACAGCTTTCCTCGTTGCAAGGACCACCTGGGCACCCTCCCACTCACTGCTAGCAGTACTCCCAAACACAATGACAACAAAAAGCACCCCACGTACTTCCCAAACACTCACAGAGGGGTGGTACCAGCCTCCTGAAGAATCACTGGGCTAGAACAAGAAAACATGGTAGATGATCAACACAGCCCAGCCAATACGTAGCCAGCCTTTGGGAGCCAGAAAGGACACCAGCCCCTCGTTGGACCAGCCTAAGTTACCTACCTGTGGCTGAGACCCCCTGGGACAATGGATCCCAAAGAGTAGTCCCCACACTAGCCCCAGTGGCACCGCCTGGGAATTTTAAGAAATGCACATTCTCAGGCCCTACACCAGAGCTACAAATCAAAAACTCTAGAGGACAGCCTGGCCATCCGTGGTTTAAGGAGCCCTCCAGAGAACTCGGGTGCACGCTGGTTTCAGGTGCTCTAGGATGTGTGTTTGGGGGATGCAATAGAAGTTCTCAAGTGCAGCGAATCCTGTTCCACACTGGTAAAGCCCATCTCCTCTCCTGACCCACCGCCACCTGCGGGCTCGGTCTGGGGCTGAGGAAACAGAAGCCGAGCAAGAAGGCAAGGCAAGAGAATAAAGACAGCTAAACAGGAGAAGACGCCAGGCCAGCCTCCGTCTGCAAAATGGGAGAAGGGAGGAAGGGACCAGACCAGAACTTCTCACGTGGAGTCCGTGAAAGTGCTCCAGGGACCCACGAACCACATGCCATGGTTCTGTACAAGGACACAATTTCCTGGGAAGAGGGCCATGCCTAATCTATCTTCCCAAGGGCGTCATCAACGCTAAAGATTAAAACTACAGAACTAGACGATCTTAGGGTCCCTTTTGAACTTTGAAATTCGTTAATTCCAGGGGAGAGAGGGGAGAAATACACATAAGCAATATAAGGCAGAGACAGCATTTTGCCCCAGCCCAGCAGGAAACCAAAGGGGAAACCAGCGACCTGCTCCGCGAGGAGGGGTCCGACCAAAGGCTGCCCGTACTTAAGAGGACCCTAACCTTCTAATCCCTGCAAACCACAAAAACCCCAATTCTGTTCCTGGCTACAAACACACAGACTCCCTCCAGAGTTAATGAGAGATTGTCGGCCGCGTCCAAGGGTCAGGAGTGGAACAGGATCCCAGCAACACACAAATCTGTCAAAGGCAGAGGCTTTCAGTGAGGCTCCTAAGGAGAAAAGTGAGAAATACCAACTGGATTCACAGTCCTTCGGAAGTATGAGGGAGCAGGTCAGCATTCTGACTTAAAAATCTGCCCACTCCCAGGCCTGGGGTGGTGACAGAATGGTGGGTGTGGGCTCTGCTGTAGTCATTGCCACAAAGCCGCCTGTGTAGGACCTTTTCCAGAAAGCTGAGTCAAGTTGGGTTTTTTTTTTCCCTTCTTTAATGATTTAATTCTGACAAGGACTTATTGCTAAACACATCTCATCTATAAATTTGGAAAGATGACAAACAGCCACCGTAGACTGAATCACCAAGGAAATGGCTCACCCTTGATCTGAAAGTCCTTTCTGTGAGGTAGCAGGGCCCGTGATTCCGCTACGGCACTGGCCCACCAGTGACCCTCTGCCTCCTAACCCCTCTCCCCCAAAATAAGTCTGGTTCTGAAGGAGTTAATGTGGGCAAGGGAGGACAACTCCTCCAGGCAAAGGACAGAGCGGTGACTCAGGAGAACAGCTTGGCATGGAGCAGGAAACAGCGGAACTTTCCCCTCCTGCGACATTACAGTGAAATCTTAATAATATGGGAAGGCCTACTGGGTATTAAGAACCAAGCATGTGATGAGATCCTTCTCCAACCTGTGTCTTGTGAACTGCCAGAAAATAATCCCACTCACCCCTCCTCAATGTCCCCTGACCTAAGGGACACCAAACTTCAAGATAACCCAG